TACTTCCCTTTCCCCGGCGTAGGGTAGCTAAGCGGTCTGCTGTCTGGTTCACCATCTTGCCTTCTCTCTCCCTCTTGCATTCCTTCTTACTTTCTTCCTTCGTTCCTGGAGAGGACTTACAGACCTATAACTATTGTTTACTTACCAGGATATTACTAAAGTTATAAGCGTGACATACTTTCGGCAACTAATATCCATTGACAAAGCCGAGTTATTTTTTCCCGGAAGGCAACGCTCGATATATTTCCACCAGCTAATACGTGACTGGATGACGTGTGTGCCGAGTTTTCACCCGTCAATGACCGCGCACGGGTTACGACGCCGTATCTTATAGCATTCAGGCGTACACCAGTGCTGGTTCTTGCGTTGGGCAGAAAGTAGCAGCTGCATAATCAAGGGGGCAAAAGTATGACATCGCTCTTGACGCAGCCTCAATTCAGTTCAGCTGACGCCTGCACTCGTATTCGCAAAAGCATGCAGTTACGGCGTCACCCAGAAAAAAAAAAATATCAAGAAGTGCTCCACACGTGCTGCCTTTTTCGTCCGTACAATTTACGAGTTATTTTTTTTCCCTAGTGTTTTCAGCACGACTTTCTTTGTTCGGCCAGGTCGTTTTCGAGTGCTACCATTTCACTCCCGACAGAATGAGATAATCGTCGCCACCGTATTGCCGCTGTTCATTCGTGCATCTGTCACACGAAATGCGCAGCTGTTACGCTGCAACAGCGAGCTTTGTTCGAGCCTCGAAGCGAACTTTCGGCTTTCACCTGTCAACATCCTCCATGGGCAAACATCTCCGAGCAATCTACCTGTGCACAATATTACACTCGGTAAACAACACTAGAGCTTATTTGTTGCGGCATCTTTTTTAACCACCATGGTTGCTTAGCACATAAGGTGTCATCTTTAGCTCCGGCACCATGCATGGCAATACACGCATGACCTGCCATAGCTGTAAATACACCAAACTTCTAAGTTTCGGATCATGGTCACAGATGTCGTACAAGAACACCCGGATTATTGATTTAGAATAAAGAATCACAGGTGATTAATATTGGAGTCCCCAGGGGTTAGCAGACGCTGCTGGAGCACCGTCAGTTAAAGCACTTTTGTGCTTTTTCAAGAGTACGGTTCCATGTGAAGGCCTTTGAGTTTTGTAGTGTATCAAGTATACGCATGCGTCAGGGCATTTCCTGAACATTTTCCTTTTTGCCTTCTCTCTCTGTCAATTTATACTTTACCTTCCTATTCCCCCATCGTAGGGTAGCCAACCGGGAGCGTGCCTAATTAACCTCCCCGCCTTCTCTCTTTTCTTCCCTTCTTCGAAGTTCCCCATTTCATTAAAAAGAGCGTACCACTCTGCTGTTTCATATCTGCTCTCAAAAATTCCTATTCTATTGGGAAGAGATCCTTCTCTCAGAAGGGCAGCCTTATCGCTTCCGCCTTTTACCTCGCCTTCGGGCCACAACGCGAAATGTTGCTCAAGCTCGCATTTAAACTCCAGCACAGCGTGAACTATTTTACATCAAAAGTGCTTTTAGGATCACAATAAGGGTCTATTCCGCTATAGTTTTTTGCCCAGTACTCTACCCCTGAGATATGCCGAAAGTTGATGCTCAGTTGCAAACTAACCATATGCATGCTTCATGTAGGATAAGGAATCTCGTTAATATGTCCAACAAAGAGTTTTAAAACAGTAAAGGAACAACCAGACGTAGCTCAATGCGAATGGCGTGACGAGTTGGTGGTTGAATGCTCTAACAAATCACAAAAGCCGCATGCATAATTCATCGTCAGCCACAGCATCAACAAGGAGCACATAATGCCTTGCAAGTGTACCACACTTTTTCGAAGAATGACGATTATTAGTGGAGGCTTCCCGACTACACAAATTACGATTTTTGGCGTAGTCCATGGACGTGTGCTTGTAGTAACCGCAAGAGTTATCTTCAAGCTTTCACAGTGACTAAGCTGCGCATTCCGCGTATAGGCCTGGCGGTTTTTCAAAAAACTAGTAGCTGTCATTCTCTATACTGACACGAAATTTCGCGTAGCTTGAAGAATATAGGAAACCATTTTGACATTCAAGTCTGCGTTCGAGCTCAGGTGCCTTCGCCCCAATTTTAGCAATATCTATCTATCTATCTATATCTATCTATATCTATATCTATATCTATATCTATATCTATATCTATCTATCTATCTATCTATCTATCTATCTATCTATCTATCTATCTATCTATCTATCTATCTATCTATCTATCTATCTATCTATCTATCTATCTATCTATCTATCTATCTATCTATCTATCTATCTATCTATCTATCTATCTATCTATCTATCTATCTATCTATCTATCTATCTATCTATCTATCTATCTATCTATCTATATATATATATGTACACGGCACGACAACTGCGCTAACAAGACTTATTTATGCCACCTCTGTTGGGCACCAATGTCCGATCAGATGCGCAAGACTTTCACAGCTCTGCGTATTATTCGGGGGAAAAAAAATGTTCAGGTGTCTTTGAAGTGAACAGCGCCCGACCGTTCATATTCCGGGCGTGACGTTTGGAAGAAAACGGCGCACGAAGACGGGGCGTTAGAGAAGCCGACAAAAGCTTTGCCGACAAGCAAGTGGTGGATCAGATGGTGCAATAAACTATTCTGCGAGTTGGGGTACGAAACGTCACTTTGTCAGGCGACGACACAACGTTTATGAATAAAGAATAGAAGACAACGAAGCGAGTCCAAAGAAAGCGACTTTCCAGCGTCACTATATAATAACAATATGTGGGGGTTTCACGCCACAAAACTATACGATCTGAAGGACGCCGTAATGGAGGGCTCCGGAAATTTCGGCCATCTGGGGTGCTTTGACGAGCACTGAAATCGCACAGTACACGGGCGACATTGCCTCCACCCAAATGCGACCGCCGCGGCCGGAGTCGAACCCGCGACCTGCGAGTCATCAGCCGAGCACATTAACCACAAATCCATCATGGGGGACGGCCGAATCGTTATAGTTTCATAGCTTGTATATTGATAGCAACTAGTGATATGCCACAATGTATAATGCAATCGCTTCTAGTTACGATGCTGCTACACACCAAGCGTATTGGCGGCTTATAGGTTTAAACGCGAACAGAAAATCAGACTAAAGACCGCCTGCTGCGCCTCCTCGAATGAAAGTGCGACAAGTTATTGCCGTGCCAGTTTCTAAGCTTGAGGATATGTAGCAGTGAGTGTATTACCTTAAAGTACGAGCTAGACAGCCCCTGTAATAAATGCAGCTAAACGCGGGAACAGAACAACGGGCTGGAGCAGTCTTCGAATCGTTCGCTTTTGAATTTACGCCGGGAGTGGATAACTTTCAAGTGAAACTACCACGAAAAAAAGTTTGTTCAGGGCGATTCGGCCTCCTTGCAGCACAGCCGCAAACAAGTGCTACCGATTCGTCTTAGAAGCGCGCAATGCAGCGCAATAACCATTCGTACAGGATGTCGAGGGAAGATAAACGCGAGCATGATTAGATAGCACGTTGCCAGGGCCCTTAGCTAAATCGACCAAACAAAAAAGCAGCTTTGCGTGGCGCAGCGCCTATAGCAGTCGCACTTTTTTTTTATTTTCTTGGTGTAATTCATAAAGTCAGAATTAAAAAGATAAGGCGAGGTTTCATAACTTTTTTGCATGTGTTATGTTTGTTGTCAACCACGAGAAAAAAGTAACGTTTCAATGTACTTAACTAATGGGTGGCAATGAATGTGGTATAGTGAAAGTTCCTCGATTACTTTGGACCCCTCACCTTTTTTTGTTTCTTCACTACGATCTCGAAGTGCGAGCGAATGCTGCAGCCACGATTGGGAATCGAACTCGTAAGATCTTCCGAAGCACCAAAATGACAGCGCCAACGGGGCGATTCAGTGGGTGGTAATGGGAAGCTTGAAAATCATGTAAACTACAGCGTGGATTTCTACAGCACCGTTCGATTAACTTGATGGTTCAAGAAGACTCATTTTCACTGGAACAGTGGGACATGCTCGTTTATTATGATAGTTTTGTGACAGGCTGCACAGTGGCACATATCTGTTTGATGACGATAGTTTTCATCGTCTTTTGCAGATTAGTGGGATTTAACTAATTTCTGTGGCACATATCTGTTCAAGATAGTCTTCGCGAAGACCAGAATGTACACTGTCGTTCTTCATGAAAGGGAACATGCGAGCGCGTGGCCTCGCACAGCATACGCACCTCTCACACTTTGCCGCCATCAAAATCCCACCTCCGACGCAGGAATCGAACCCAGACCTTCGGGTAAAGCAGCCGATTGCCACCTAGTTTAGGCGTCTTGATTTTAGCAGCGCATTAGGGGGATGAGGACTAAAAAGAAAAGAACGTGCTCAACACGTGTCCTCTTCTTAATCCTCATCTTCCAGTGCACTGCTAAAATCGGAAAGTTTCAATTCACATGCACATGTTAGGCGTGCTTCTGTGCCCATGGGACAGAAAAACGATATAAAATCATCCGTTTCGGCGGTATGCCAGAAGGTACTACAGTTAAGTGTCAGGTAAAAAGTTGAACCACACACATACACACTTTCTGTATGTAACCGTCTGTTCTCCAGTCACGACACGCATAAATAGAGGCTTATTCGGCGCAGCTAGAAGACTGAATACCGGGACACGACATAAACAAAGTCGAGTGCCACATGTGTACGTGTTTTAGGCGCTGTTGACACAGTCACATTTTACAGCTACAACCTGATAACTTCCCATGTGACGGAGCCCGATATTCCACCCAAGACACACTTGTAATTTAGGAAGCTGTGTTCACCTTCGGGTGAAGCAGTATTCCTCTGAATAATTATGCTCTGAAATGGAACGTGTCACAATGACAAGAACTTATAAAAAGATGCTTCCGCGGCGGAAAAGTTCAGCGGCGCTCTTTCATTGTCTGTTATACGTATAAGTGCGAAAACAAAGTGATTTACGCACCTTACTGCAAGGGTGATGAATTACCCAAAGAGTTCAGAACACACAGTGGTGACGGGTTCACGGATGAATTGTTCATGACAGATGATATCGTAGTGACGGTCACCAACGTGTTGCAGTTGTTTCTCCAAATCGCGGTCGTCTTCGGCGAAGTTTAGCTGGGGTTGCCACGATTCCTCCCGTTCTTGTACTGAGTAGAGCGCGGGCCTCGGCGCGCATGTCACTAGTCCGGTCGGTGTGCGAGCCTCAAGAACCCCGAGCGGTTGTGCCGAAAACGCCCTCCGCTGTTCGGGCCCGGGAGAGGGCAGAGCAGGTGACGCAATCGCCGACGCGCTGCAGAAACGGAAGCGCCAATGAGGACGGCGAGGGAGCTGCAGCGACACGGCTTCGCAAGCTCCAGTTGCGCCGAACGCGTGCATCCAGCTAAAGGTCGACAGCGATTAAATCATGCGCGCAGCCGCACCACGCTGATGTTTTCGGATGTGGGAGGGTATCGGTACAAAGCGTCACATGCGCTTCGCGGGAAAATGTGTGATATGTATGCGTTTGACTCGTTTGACCTCGCTCTAAGATCACTCCCGTCGCAACAATAGCACGTACGCGTAGAATAAGCACGAGTCAGTGCACAACAAGGTGAGAGGCTGTGAACAGCAAAGCACGCATTATTAAAAAGCAAAAATTGATCGATCGTGCAAAGAAACAATGATGAAAAAAAGGTTAAGACAACCGATAAAATGTACAACTGTGAGGATGATAACTGTTTAATGTATGAAGTGTAATGTGAGGTGGTGTTGGTTCCGTTTCATTCTAGGATGCACCAGCACACTACGTGGTACTAATTTATAAAGAGAACCTGAGGTTTATGCTTGTAATCGAGAGGACTGCATCGTTTATGCATGTAATTTAGGTGATTACATGCATAAACACATCTGGTTACGTTAATACAAAAGCAGTTGTGCAAACTCTGCATTACGGCATGCCTGTAGTGTTCTCCCAAGGGAAAAAAAAGAATGAATTTGTTAATAGAAAATGAGATAGCACAACGGCAGCCGAATGTGCATTTGCACGTTACGTAAACGGTCGAAAACTAAGCTCAGTGACGGGAGATAAACGAATTCAAAGCCTGGAGACAGGCTCGCACCTCTTAATTTGTGTCAAAGAGCAAGGCCCAACTCCTGCTTACATGTAGGTCCCGCACTTTCGAAGATACAGAATTTCAAAAAATAAAAATGAGAAAAAGAGGACGTGAACATTTGTATGCGTGAAACGTATAAATTTTAATTAAATTCCCGTTGAAACGGTGAAAAAATGGTGCGCGCCAAATTACTTTTTACCACTTGCAGGGTTCTTTGTCATGGATAAAAATATAAGCACATGCACGTGCGTTCTTGCATTTCACCCGCATCGCCATATGCGTCGGTAAAGAAGTGAGGGTCAAACCCGCGACCTCAGCCACCAAGCTACCGCGGCAGGTTTGTGAGGCGGCTGAATGAATTGGTAAATAACGGTGAGCGTTCATTCTTTTGTTTCGGTCATTTCCGCTCACTCGGTATATGTTGTTCAGCTCGTGCGAAAATAAAAATCTCAGTTGACTACGTCAATGTCATGTCATGCTCAATCGTGCACTCCATCGTGGCCAGATAAAGTGCTCTCAAGCCCACCCTGACGCCAACGTTAATTTATAAGCCACACTGTCAGAAATAAATAAATTACAAATAAATAAATAAATAAATAAATGTGCAGGGACTCCACTGCACACTTTTCGAAAGCTGCCTATGCAAGCGCTGATTATTTTCTAGATCAACATTACTCGTCGATAAATGACCGGAACATGGGAGAGGCTTTTGCCTTGAAGCGAGTGTGGCCAAACTGATGAAGATGACAATGATGAACCGAACGACAATGTGTTCTCTAAACGACAGGAAAAAAAAAAGACACCAACCACTGCGCGTTAGAGAAATTTTGGGGTATATCAGGGCGAGTCTTTCTTCGCATATAATCCTGGACTTACCTGCAGCCTTGCTTTCATGGGTGTCGCTGTCTCGTTGACCGAACAATTCCCATTTAAAGCGTCCCATTTCCTGCCTGATGGAAGGATGAAGCCTTTTTCTATCCTTGGTTCACCAGCTTTGTATCCCAATGATTTAACCACTTACCACGACAGAACGTACATCCGTGAGCAAAAGTATAGGGACCACTGCAGCTCGTACAGTTTTGCTGGCAGAGCCACCTATAGTGGCGAGCCATGTGCTGTTGAGAACAAATTTTGTCAGGACAATGTTCTCGACGACCACTATAGACAGCGCAGACAGTGGTTTCGGTACACGCTTTCCGTGGTACATGTACTTTTACTCACGGGTGTACTATTTTATCTTGAACGTATAAAGTTCGGACCACTTCAGGGGGCCGAGCTGTCGATGCTATCGTAGCAGTCATCGTCGCTTGGAGTACGACGCTTCATGCGTGGCATATTGAGCAGGCGCTCAAGCCAAGGAGATGTCTTCCTCTTGTTCTTCGAGCGCCTCGATGATGATCGCCTATATCACCCATCATCGAAAAGACAACTAGCATGCTTGTAACGCAGACAAAACCACGTCTAAAAATTAAGAGAAAACACGCGCCAAATTTAAAAGAGAGGAAGGAAAAAAATAGAAAGAGCAAGGAAGAGAACTAGATAAAGAGAGAGGAAGGAAAAAAATTAAATAAAAATGAAAAGAAAAAAATGAACAAAGAAGAAAATGAAAAAAAAAGAAAGATAGGAGGAAAGGAAGAGAAAATCGAAGAGAAAGGCATTCAAGCTGCGCACTTCACGCTGGCTTTGCACTGCACTCGTGTTAACCCACCTTAATTTTTTATAGCTATTCCTTAAGGTAGTCGTCGCGTGTGCGACAACGCAAAACACGGAATCAGGCAAGCATCTGTTCAAGCCACAGCTCACGTCAAACACGGACAAGTGAAATACGCAACCTTTCGGCTGTCAACGCTACCGTCGCAGAGACATCAGTTGAAAAACACCTCCAGATGTTTCAAGCAGCGTAAAAGAGAAAAGACGGTTGACTGTTACGGTGAAGTCGGAACGCGTTCAATGCCGAAGTTCGCTGCCTGTCTTTCATCGTGTACGTTAGCTTTGAAGTTCGAAAACGTTGTGTTTTGTGGTGGAAAACATTTGAATACGGAATAAAATCATCAAACCGCTCCGCAACGTTTGCCATCGTGGCTGAAAAATGAATTTAATTTGCACCACATCTCTTGTAGCCGTATGCTATGCTATGCGCAGGGAAGTGAATGGTTCTTCCACGGAATGCGACATCAGTTGCCTTCGATGGGCCGCCACTATGGTGAAAAATCTGTTCTTAAAACAACGCTTGAAGCAATGCAAGCCCTGCTCGCTAAACAATGACGGGACAGGACCGGCTGAGCAACCACGTGTGGCGGACTTTTCACATCCCTTAAATGAATGGGTGAAGGAGTGCCCCTCCCCTCTTCCCGATAGGCGCCGACTTTTGGTGATGGGTGGGGTGTAAATTACACGCATGAGTTTCGATAGAAAATCTCGCATGACCGTTCTTATGTCTTAAACCATTAGTTGCACATTTCTTCGGCAGTCGTAGACACATACGGCTGTTTCACGCAGAAGAAATGGCAACGTAAACGTTTCCTACGATCTTTGACAACGATTTTTGTCCCGGTATACCCATTTGTGCGCTTGCCATCTGGCGTACACACAGGTTCGCACGAACACGTGCAGGCTAGAATTATCGCTTAAATATTGGGGTGTATAGGGAAACCAGAGTCAAAGTAAGCTGTTGGTCTAACGTAAGCAGATGTGCTCGACTTCTGCTCATGCACAGTTACCGTTTATGCTACAAACCTATTCCATGTTTCTAAGCAGTGGTAGGTGCCATCGACACTCTGACGCGCTTGTAGCAACGTCCCGACAAACAAGCTCCAACCAGCCTAATGTTCCACACTGCCTTTCATCATCACGTGACCACTACCACAGCAGCTGCAAAGCTGCCTGTATAGTGTAGTAGAAAAAAATTTAGTGCGCTATAGCAGCTGCTGTTAACAAACACAGAATAGGTCTGTATCCGGGTGTACGCTACTTAAGACGGAGCTAAGTGGCTATACGCTACTTAGGCCGGAGCTAAGGTAAGTCATAAACTATCCTAGCGAGAAACGTCCTTCTAAAATTTTCTATTGCAGATGTCAGTGGAGGATAATTAATCGTTTTTATGCACTTAAAATTAAAACTTGTGCTACTCTGTTTCTTTAATGCTAAGCGAAAAAAGTGTACCTCGTTTTAGAGTCTCACCAAGTCAGTAAACAAGCTCTTTTTTTTCTTTCGCACAAGCGCGTCAAACAAGGTGCAACTACGTGCATATATAGCTGTGGAGTGGTTTGCGAGCGAATGTATAACGCCGCTTGTAAATTACAGGAGTTCGTTTATGGTTCTCCTTTCGTGACTGCCTAAGTCGGTTACTGAGGTCCTTGCAAGAGCCAACATAGATGTGTGGTTAGAGGATTACCTAGAAGTTGTCTTGAGTGTCAAGTATTTTAAGAAAACTATCCAGAGTAACTATCAAAAGGCTGTTTAGAACATTGGCAAGAAGCAAGAACGTTTACTCGGGGCCATGCCCATCGAGGTCTTGCATAATTATCCTGCGTTTACATATACTCCTAAAAAAAGTAGTGCGCCTTGAATAATTTGATGATGATGATGACCTCATATGAATAGCCCTCACCCACAAAGGGGGACGGGCCAAGAACCAAGCGGCAGGATGCTTAAAGTAATGAAATTAAACCCAATCATAAGAACAAGCTTAGAGATAAAACCGAGAATAAATAAAAATGAGATTACTGAGCAAGCGTTCAAACCACCTCTTTATTGATGCTACATGATCGTTATCCGTTACCGCACAACCGTTACCGTTACTAACCGTTACGGGCGTCTGACGTTCGTATATCTAAGTGGGTGAAACGGCAATATTTACTCGGCCAAGAACGCTGGTTTTTTTAGTCAACAGGGTAATATACATGCATGGGCGCGTCTGTTACCCAGGCAACTACGTGCATATATAGCCGTGCATATATAGCCGTGCATATTACCGCACAGCGACAAAGACAGTCTTCGTCTTTGTCGCTGTGCGGTAACGGTTAGGTTAAGCTTGCGGAAGACCGTATTCCTCAGCACAAATAACGCGCATACTTACCTCATGTGTATATGATTAAAATATCAGATGTGCGCGAGGTGCCATTGAATCCCAAGCGAAAGTTGCATGAGCGAAAATGTTACAATACGGCGATGCCAGAAAATTAATTTCTTTGTTAAAAGGAA